TACGCATGAGAAAACAATTACACAGCAAATTCAAATGAAACTCGTGTGCATCTTGCAAAAATTGTTAAATCACCGCTTGGAGTTAGCTGCAGACGTATAGAAGTTAACTCCTTAAGAAAAAAAAACGCTCACCTCTCCAGGTACAGTCTTCATACAGGCCTTTATGCCCGTAATTAGCATCATAGACCAGATCAGCAATTTCATTATGCCGACAGGATCTGCGGATGAGATTTCGAAAGCGCAAGAGCCGTAATAGGTCATCAGGCGTTTATATAGGTATCAGAGCGTTCACGAGAGATTTTCCTTTGTTGAACTGGAACGCGGAACGAGGAGCGATCGGTGCTGTCGTGTTGCATCCATGAGCCACGATCACTTTCTCGCAACGATGGATTGCGATTGAACTTTGATTGTGATGCTAGCGTCTAAACACTTGGGGAAGTTTCAATACTGACAATTAGTATTCTATAACAGAGTTGTGTAGTGAGCAGCTTTGATAAACTTCTTGAGAGTGCGCCACGTATTCAGCCTCCATTCTGCATTGCAAGTTTGCTGGAATACGTACATTCATTGTAAAATGACTATTGGGAGTAGTTAAATTAAAAAGGTTATCCCCAAGTCTCACGAAGCTTGTAGGGTATGTGAGGAATGAAAGATTCCGTTAGTAAGAGGTGCTGCCCTTCACTGTCCACCCAGGCGAAGGACGGAACATTCACCCAGAACTGGATGGACGCGGTAAATGGCGCGGCTAGATCCGTGGCGTTTAGAACGATTTTGCCATATATCTTTTGTGTGCAAACTTGAAGTAGAGTACTCACTATAGTCAGATGATCGTACTAATCGACTCTACTTCAATTTGGGTACCAATGATAGGCGCTAAAGTCATTTGAATCTCCACGAAATTCGCCGCGCGATTTGCCGCGTCCATCCAGTTCTGGGTGAATATACCCTTACCCACCCAGACTACCATATACGTTATACTTTCTCAAGACGTTGGGTGTTGGGCAGACCACTAGGATCACCCAGGCGATTCTTTCATGAGTGAATCTCTCTTCCCCACTTTGAATATCTACTATTGACTGTAGGAGGACCAATGCGACTCTATGTGATAAGCACCCTCAAACAGTTCCAAGTGAAGCTCAAACGGAAAATTTTGACTTTTGGTCTTCCAGAACACTTGGTGCTATTTATGCTACTGAACGTTGTTCACTACATTTTTTCCCATAGTAAAGTGGAGATGAGAGATTCTTGGCCCTGCCATCGCGTTGGTAAATCATATACAAGGCGAACTTTTCTTGGAATAGCTCTTCTAAAGATATTTCGAATTGTTGGGAGTATAGAGCCTTAAGTTCCTTATCAGTTGGCACGTTCGCATTACATTCGGAGTCGCAAGGAGGTTCAAAGCCACAAATATGGTATTCCACTGATGATAGTCCATATTAAATGAGGGATTAATCGACGCTTGAATTTTCATGCCTCTCCTTGTTACTCCGTCAGATATGTCCAAGCAGAGGGGCTGTGAAAATAAAAGCGTCGATAGGACCCTTCGAACATTCCCCCTTTCCGTGCCTCCTGAGCCCTTATGGATCGTTGTACTTGATTCATTCCGAGGGTCAAACACAATTTCGAATAGAGAATCGATTTGTTTTGATGTTGGTGGGACCGTTATAAAAATCCTTTTCAAACATTCGCAAGCACCATTTAGGGAGCTCTCTCACGAAAAGCGATTTTGAGCAATGGGAAGGAATAGTGTAAGCCATATAAGAATCCAGTCTGAGTATCGCAACATCAATTCAAAGGTGAACCCAACGTTCTGCACGGATAAAAATGCTTTCCCTCACACCATACCTGCCGTTATGAGGGCGAAAAACGTCCTCTGTAGGGCACAATAAGAGACGAGGGATTGTATCGTGTGGATGCCACACCCCTAGTGGACGAGTTTCAAAGGCTCTGTAGAGGCTGCACCATCCATAAAAGAACCAATGTAGGAAGTTCATACATTTTGTCGCGTATCAAAGCGACAGCGAAAGGGAATTCTGGACAGTTATGGCTTGATGTAGTCAGAAATTACCATGAACTGTGCCTTTAAGATAGAATGACTTTGTACCGACCGACCGAATTACCTAGGCTCTACACGGAAGTCATTATCAACGTGGAGAGAGGTGTACCAGGCAATACCGTTTGGCTAAACTTTTCAGTGCCGCTCTCGAGAATATCATGTGTCATTTGGAATGAGAAGATCGACGGCCGCTACCTACATCACCTCCATCACCTCCGTTTTGCACATGACACCGAACATCGAGCAGGTGGAAGGAATGTTGGCCGAGTTTGGCAATGCTTGTGGAAAGATCGGCTTGAGACTGAACCTGACGAAGACGATGTTCATGAAAACGGATCGGTATCTGATGCTCCCTTTACGGTGAATGAAACGAATGTTTCCGAATGCTCCAGCTATACGTACCTATATCGGGAAGTCAACATGATGAAAGACCTAGCTCCGGAGCAGTGCAGAAGGAAACTCGCCGCGTGGGGAGCATTCAAGAATGTCGAGGGAGTATCGAAGAAGACAAAGAACATCCGGCTCCGCGCTCACCTTTCCGACACTGCTGTCCTTTCTGCTTTGACGTACGCCTCGCAGACTTAGACTCTACGAAAGCAGGACGGGCAGGCTGTCAGAGCTACTCAACGCGTTTCGGGAAGGACAAGGCTCGGGATTCCCTTATACACGCAAGTGCAGAAGGAAGTCCGGAGTTTCGAGCTCCGTCAACGAAGATCAGAGATGGCGTTGATTACGTCAGGAAATCGAAGATCAGCTGGACTGGGCACGTTATGCTATATAGTGATGATCGTTGGACCAGGGCGGTTACTGACTGGATCCACGCGACATCAAACGAACTCCAATTCGGCCGCCAACAAAGTGGTCAGACTTCTTCCCGAAAGCTCTGAACAAAAGGAATGTTAGAACTTGTGTCCCTGAAGCGAGGACGATTCACTGGACCACACTGGCTCGTGAGAGGGATTAATGGAGACGTTACTAGCGTCCGCCCGAGGAAGTCGATGATCAACGAGAAGACAGGTGATACAGATGATCAGCTACGTAAAAGAAAAGTGAACAGATCATAACGAATAAAACCGAAAGCAGTATATTCCTTCTCGAAACCCAAGGAACGGACGTCACCACACATCACT